TCTGGATCTGTTTAGGTCAACCAAGAGTCTGTCTGTGCCCTCAGGGTGCTGGAGTGTGTGGGTGATGTAGCATATCCCCCTACTCCACCAGAGCACTGTGGTAGATGAAGTAGACAGTTAGGATGTGCCTGAGGGAGCCCCAGCCTGAGCATAGGGGTAACCCAGCACGGGTGGCTATAGATCCTGGTATTCTCAAGAAAGCTAGCTCAGAGACAGTGAGCTCTGTGCACTGTACATTCCTGCAGGAACCAGGGCACACGTGCCACAAGGCTTGCACAGGGCCAGAATGGCAGGAATGAGGTACATTTCAGGACCAAGAGTCTTCACCCCCACCACCCCAGCCCCGGCAATGGGACAGAGCGCAGTGTTTACACTGACCCAGAGAGAATACTTAACTTTCACATCTTCCTGTTGGGGCTCCGGCCTTAAAAGACCTCAGTGGGCTTCGCTGCGGTGAGAAGACCACTTGAGCCCAGGAATTTGAGACCAGCCTGGGGCAACATATGAAGACCCTGTCTCAGGAAAAACATGGAAACAAAAAGCAGGAAAATGCTTCAGGAGAGGGGTTCACAGCTGAAGAGGCTTTGCCAAGGACTTGGTCATCCTCGGAAGGTTCTGAGGACTTTCTAGAGCCTTTGGAGGCACCTGGCCTGGGAGACTTGCTTACAGGTCTGGCAGGGCTTCAGATTGAAGGCAGGAAGATCACAGAGGCCAAGTGCTGCACAGTGGCGTGCCACTGTGGGGTTTCTCAGCCATTGCTACGGGCCATTAGGGTTAGGAGTCATATTGTACAGGTACGGAACTTGTGACATGCCCAGCTGTTGGTAACAAAGTCAGACTTTGGCTCAGGCTTCTGAGTTCTTGGCCAGTGTCTATTCACAGTGCAGGGTTTGAGGACAATAATGTGAGCATCTCTCTCCTGGAAGGGCTTTTGTCAAAGTGCCCAAATACTAGAGAACTGCTAGATTCTGGTATTCCCATCTCAAAGACTCCTCAGCTCTACTTTTTGATCTTTCCCAGTCCTCTGGGATGGAGACCCCCATGTCAGGAGGAGCCAGACACCTGGAACATGCTGTTCCTCCTTAGGATCTGTCTTGTGTGGAGTAAGACTTTGCTTGTGGACAGTTTGGAATGGAATTGCCTGGCACTTTGCCTTCCTGCTGTGTGAGTTCTGCCCACACTGCAGCTATAAGATGTCAAGTAACCAGACTCCAGTACTAAGCAAACACTGTACTCAGCACCAAGCCAGGCACTAGGGAGGCAAGGCATACAATATCGGTAAGGGTGGTAGACACAGGTATTTGCTATGCAGGTGGGCATGCACGATGGACACTGACAAGATAAAAGGTGGGTTTACCACATATAGGTAGGACTGGCAGTAGACTCTTTGTGAAATGTCTGGCTGAAAATACTTGATATGAGTTCATCTTCATTATTAAACTCTTAAGCCTGTATATGCAGAGAGAGACAGAGGATGTAATTAAGTGCTAACTGAACATAGTCCCAGACTCTCAGAGAAGGGCAAGATGGTCCACATAGGGGCTTCTTGAAGGGAGGATTGGGACCTCAGGATTACAGTGGTCTTGTTTTGTTTTATTTTGTTTTTGCAACAGAGTCTTTCTGTGTACCCCAGGCTGGCCCCATACTCATGCTATAGCCCAGGCAAGCCTCAAATCACAATCCTCCTGCCTCTCAGCTTTCTAAGTGCTGGGATTATAGGTGTATGCACCACCATGCCCAGCTAAAATAGTGTTTATTAAATAGTCCAAATTCTTCACTCAAATGATATTTTAGACTCCATCTATATATAAGATAGGTAAGGAGGGGCTGGGTGCCTGAAGGAATTGGGGACTCAGGCTTTTCCCCCTCTGCCCTGCCCCCACTACTAGGAGCCTCTCCAGGCCTACCCAGAAGCACAGCATTGTAATGAGGCTGTGGCCACAGCCGACTCCCCTGTTGTACAGCTCAACAGTGTCCCCTACCAGCCACGATGGCACACCAGCACTCCATCTGAAGAACTGGGCCCAAAGTTTGTGGGTGGCCATCCCACAAACCCAGTGAATCTGGTGGGATGAGGCCTGTGTACCTACACAGCTGGGCGTGGATGTCTTAATGAGCCCAAGCCATGGTGGACCCCTGAGTTGCTGCTGTTGCCTATTGTGAGCCGGGCCCAGCAGTGAATTAGAGACAAGCCAGCAGGTGCCAACTTCTAGACACAGTGAAGGCTGTCCTGGAGGGTTATACGTACAGCTCCCAAGGAGACACAGAGAAAGTTGGAGAATGACATCTGGTTAAGAAATGGCCTGATGTGGGAGGGGGAAGGGCAAGTCCCAGCAGAGGCCACCACGTGGAGCAAAGCATGGGCAAGTCCCAGAGTCTGTGCAGAAGCTCAGGGATCTGGTAACACCCATGTGATCAGCCCAAGGTCAGAGGGAGGGCAGCAGGATTGGGAGGTGGAGCTTGAGCCGGAAGGCCTTGAAAGCTACACTGAGGCACATAGATCAATGGCGTGGACAGTAGGCAGGGCTGTTTGTAGAGGAAGATCTCTCTGGCAGTACTCAACTGCCAACCAAGAAAGTCTTAGGACCTAATCTGGAACCTCAGTATCCGGGAGTGAGGATCAAACCAGAGGGTGTCTGTTGGCCCAGAGAGGATGTGGTTGGGTTGAGAAATTGCGCTCTGGGTCACTCATGCTAATGGAATGTCAGCCACCAGGAGGATACAGTGTGTGTTGATAGAGGCTGCTGCAACACCAAACACCAGCTCAGCTTTTGGCCCCTTCTGTCCAAAGCACATGGTGCCAGCATGTCTGTCAGGGACACGTCCTGGCTGTCCAACAGATCCAGGGGCAACAGTGGGAAGGGGACTCTGGCCAAGAGCAAAGCTGCCCAGGAGGAGGCTATCTGCAGAGAGCCTGGGAATGCTGCAAGTCTGGTCTGCCCAGGGGTCTGCCCCAGCCCAGGCAAGCCTAGAGTCACCTGCCCAAGGACTCTGCTGCTATGGCTACCTATGGGGAGGGGCCCCAACATCCTTGGCTCCAACCTCTACTACCTTCCTCTCCAACCCGAGCTTCTTTCTCTTCCATTACCACCCACATTTCTCTCCATGCTCCTTTTCATCACACACCAGCTCCAGGGAGACCGTTTCTCTGTTCTTTACCTTTATTGAGTCTGGTCCCAAAACATAGCACTTGATTCTCTGGGCAATTTGACATTTATAGCATTCTAGTTGTTACCCTGAAGGCAGAAATTGTGTCTTCTCCTTCATGTTCCTGAAAGTGGAGGTGCCTAATACTGGTGAATTGCTGGATCCTGGGGAAACTGGGAGAAAAGCACACAGAACTCGATCTGTGTGCTGAGACAAATTCCTGATCAGGGGTGTGCCCTGTGCAGGCTTAGCTGGGGGGTTGCAGTTTCTGCCCTTCGGACCTCATAGGCCAGCTGGGTAATCATGAGCTGATGTTTAGGGGTGGGGGGCAGGCAGAAGAGATGGAAAAGAATTGGGGTATGGATTAAAATGGAGAGGAGAGGTCATAGCAGGGGGGACCTTTATGCAGAGCAGACATTTTTGAGGAAAAGTGAGAAATAATGCATGTGTGGAACCTAAACCCCATCTTCTAATAAGAGGGCTGGAGCAAATTCCACCCTCTTCATTCTCTACCAAGTCATAGCCTAAAAACACAGAGGAAGGACACAGACCCAGGTCATAGTGCAGAGGGAAGAGAGGCTGAACCCCAATTGAGGGTGGACGCTGGGCCTCCCTGGGTAAGGCTTTAGTGCAGAGATCCCCTTCCCTGTAAGCCTGTGTGGCAACCTCAAGTAAGCCGTGCTTCTGCACAGGCAGTGATCATGTTCAGCATCTAACAGAACTGTTGATTCAGCAGCAAGGCGGTGAATGAAAGGGCCTTACTGATGACCACTCAATGAGAACAAAGTGGCAGCCTTGTTTGGGCCTTCGTGGCTCAGCCGCACTACACAGGCTACCCAGGTAGCTGGGATGCATCAGTATTGCTGGTGGTAAAAGTAGTGCCAATGGCAGGGCTAACACTCAACTCCAGTTCTTGGAGTGAGAAGGTGCGCTGATGATCTTGGTTAACCGTTTTGGCCTTCACTGCTGTGGTCTTGGCTTCTAGCCATTCTAAGGACCACATTCTATACCCCTCCTGCCTCAGAGGACTCAAATTTTCAGGTTGAAAGTCTAAAGCTGCTCTTGAATGGCATAGCAACTGTCCCTGAATGGTGATTAAATAGGGTTTCTTGACACTTTGATTCTATTATCTAAGGGGAGCTAGCTAGCTATCTTAGGAAATTCAAGGGAGGATCCTTTGATAAAGTATAACAGGACCTTCCTAGTGTAGCCAGGGTCAGGAAACCAAGTTTGCAGTTCCATTTAGGAGATGTTAATTGGACTCCTGTTGTGTGCTGGCAAGGTAGAAAGCAGAACTCTGCCCTTGAGGTGCCCTTGGGACCAATTCTTTGCTTAGCCTTACTGATTCAAAGCGTTTTTTTTGTGTATCTCTTATCCACTCCTATCCTGGGCTCCGTAAATGGGGCATAGGGTGCTACTTACCTGAGGATGTGGGAGGCAGAGCAAACCAAGTGAGGCTGGGAATCCCTGATGGTGCTTCAGAGGGTGGGCAAGAAGAGCAGGTGGGATGAGCACTGACTTTTTTTTTTTTTTTTTGTGGTACTGGGATGTGAGGGCCTAATGCTTGCTTGTTAGGCAGGCGCTGTACCACTTGAGCCATGCCCCCAGCCCTGAGCACTGACAAATGCAGAAGAGCACCTTATGCTTTACTGTGAAGATGGGGGGAAACAGGCACACAGAAAGCAAGTAGTCTGGGAATATGGGAGAGATTGCCACTCCTGAGGACATTCTGCCTTCTGTAGGCTGGGGAGGTGGGCAAGTAGGGGCTGCCCTGGTAGGGCTGAATACCCTGGAGTCCACTCTCAGAAGAAAGCCTCAGGGGACCTGCTGATGGCTGCTTTCTTTCCCTGCAGCTTGATGTTCACCAAGGTGAAGTTGGAGCAGATACTGAAAGGCCCAGAGGAAGCCCTTGTGACCTGCAGACAAATGCTGAGGCTGTGGCAGACCCTATACAGCTTCTCCCAGCTGGGGTAAGGACTCTCATTGTCCCTTGGGTTGTCAGAGGGTAGAGGACAGAGTTGGGAGACTGTGGTTGCTGTGGCAACAGTCAGCTGAGTGGCCACAATACCTGACAAGATGGGGTAGGGGGAGGGAGGGGGGGTGGAGCTGTTTGGATGAAAATGTAGAATTTAGTGCCCACAGGTTTGTTTTTTTTTTTTTTATCCATGGTCTAGTTTTAACCTCTTGATCGTTCTCCATGACATGCATAAAGACCCTGTTTAGGAGATTGAACTCTGATAAGAAAGTAGAGAAGCCATTATTGAGCACCTTGAGCCAGGTGCTAGGCTTATTGCTTTATCTGATACAGCTGCTACTTATATCTTATACGTTATCAGATTTTATTCTCAGCCCAGTAAGGAAACTGTGACTCAGAGCCCTTATTTAATTCGCCAGTCATTTACCTGGTGAGTGGTAGCGCTGGAATTTGAATTCCAGTCTCCTGAGTCCCAGATTATGGAGCCTGTCATTTCTTTCCTGGATCTACTTGTAGGCTAGAAGAGGAGGAAGAGGCAGGATTTTGAGGACCACTCACTTCTCCCTAGTCACCCATGATCTCCACTCATACTGTCTCCTGCTGTTGCCCTAGCATGGGCTCTGGGTTTTTCCTGGGCCAGAGCAGGATGCTCTTATCCTGGCTAAATCTGCAAAGTTTTTGCTCAAACCGGGACACCTGGGATCAGCATCTGCAGCTTAAAGGGACAGGGACCTCACGCAGGGTGGGTGCACTGCCTCTTCCTGGTCCTCTGGTCTCCACTCCTCCCCTGCTGTGGGATTACTGGCTGTGACATCCCCCTTAGACCTCAGAGAGCTCTAGCTCCAGAGGGTATTTGCATTTTCACAGGGACTCTGGGAGTCCAGAAGGCATCCAAACTCTCCAGAGGAACCGCTCTCTTAGTTAAACTTACAGAAGAGGCCCCAGAATAATGAGATGGAGTCAAAAACCTTGAGTGGGGTCAAGATTTTCCTGTGCAGGACTTGGAGCCAGGTAGTAGGTTCCAGAGCAGAGCAGAACCAATGGGTGAAAGCTGCCAACAGAAGTCTATGTACTGAGGGACTTTTTAGATAGGGGATGGTAAGCTCCCTGGCAGCTGAGTCATGGGAGCATGAGGACCAGTGAGGGGACTCATGTTCAGATGCCCCTCCCTTTCCAGTGGGCTGGCTATGGCAGCTGGAGCAGGTACACAGCTTGGCTCCCCTTCTACACAGGAGCTGCCTTGGAGCTGGCTGCTCCTTACTGGGTCCTTATCTGGATGGCAGGTTGCTTGCTCATCCAGGTAGCTAGTCTTGGCAAGGCCCCTCTGAGCTGCAGCCTTAGCTCATTTACAGCCTGGCCCATGACTCCCCTCAGAACAGCAGGCTGCAGACTCTAAGACTGTTGGGAACTCTCATGGAGGCTAGGGAAGTAGGATTTGCATTAAGGTCTCTTCAGTTCGCCACCCATAACCCTTATCTCTGACCTGAGAGCCCATTGGAGCCTCTGACAGCAGGAGGCTCCTGGACACCTGTCCTGGGAACCTCCCACTGCTCCCCCACCCAAGAAGGACAGAGCTTGAGCTTGACCAGGCTAATATCTAGCTCACAAGCCTGGATCCAGTTTCTTCTTGGACTTCTCAGGAGACAGGAAGGAGTCTTCTGAAACTTAAGCCACAGATCAGAAATCAGGGTTTGTAAGCCAGATGTAGAGGAGCACACTATAATCTCAGCATTCAGGAGACAAAGGCAGGAAGATCAGGAGTTCAGCGCCAGCCTGGGCTGAATAGCCAAACCCTGTCTTAAAAACCAATCAACCAAACACCCCCCCAAAAAAACAACAAAATCTAGTTTGGGGTAATGAAGATTAGAGACCAGAACCCACAGCCTGAGGGTCTGGCCTACCCCTCCCCACTCAGCCAGCCAGCTCCCCATCTTACTAAACGCCATGCCTCACCGCCTTCCTCTTCTCTGTCCAGCCCGCACTGCCCTGGTGTTCTCATCGTCCCCTAGGCCTTTTTCTTCATGGAGCCACCAACCACCCAGCTTCAGCTGTTTCTGCTCATACCTCTCCATTGGGGTCTTTGCTACTTACTCAACTAACTGTACTGTTTCCTCTCCCCATGTGGGTGTAAGGTTTTCAAGGTAGGGAGCAGGCCTAAAATCAAGTAGCAAGTAGTCTACCAAGATGTGCTGTCTCTGGTACCATACAAGAGGCCCCTGCATACAGTGAGAGAGAAAGTAAAACAGGAAGCTTTTTCCTATAGATCAGGAACCTGACCGGGAAGCTAGCACTGTGCTAGATACTGGCCCAGGTTCATTTTCAAGAGAGAAAGGTCAAGCAACCAGAGAGCCTCTTGTCTCTGGCTCATTGAAAACTCACTCACATGCCTCCCAGAATTGGGAAGAGGTGGGAGAAGAAGAGAACCTGCCCTGAGCTGCTGTTTTAGTGGATGATTTTCTCTGAGGTCCACTAAGATGGCTGGGTGTTCACAGGCCAAGTCAGGACCAGTGTGAGCCTGAGTTAGGATGGCAAGGATACCCTGCATCCTGGCATTCATTGTCTTGGTGCCCCTCAGAAAAGAAGATGCCTTCTGCCTCTGTCTACCCTTGCTATCATGACACTCCTCTGAGTTTCCCCAGCCCTTGAGTTCAAGGGTGAAGACTTGGCTGGTTGAGGCTACATACGCTTAGGAAGGTCTCCACAGCTGTACAGTTCCTTCCTGGCTTTGCCCATCTCCCATTTTGAGAAAAGAGGAAGCCCCCAGCAGCCTGGGAACTGCGAGGACCTAAGGAATTGGGTCAGGGATAAGATAGGATCCCTGTACTTATATGTCTGCCACTCACTTCCTCCCCCCACACCACACACACACACGTGCTCCTTACAGGCCACTCTGCCATCCAAGGTAGCAACTGGGCCCTCCTTCCCTGAGAGCAGGCTGGAGCAATTCTGGGGCCCTGTAAAGATCAGGCTTGCCTAGGAAGCCAGTCCACAGTCCCTGCTCTTGCCTGGTGCTCTCTGCTAAACATTGTAAAGGTGATCTCTGGGGGACCCTCTGACCTCACCTGCCTCAGAGGAGGTTGCAGATAGTATGGGAGGGTTTCCAGTCCTCAGCCTGGGTGGTGCCAAACTCATGCTCATCTGTCTGCCCCTCTGTTTGTCATGGTCCTTCCCTGTTGTCCTTACTTGGCTGTTTCTTGGGTCTGAACTCTAAGCCCCAGTGATGACCCTTCATTCTCCCTGCTGGCCCCAGGGGATCTAGCTCTTTGCCTCACCATGCCTGCCCTCTCTTATCTTCCAGAAGTCTAGAAAAGGATGGCAGCTTTGGTGATGGCCTTATGGTGAAGAAACAGAGTGGCATGCACCTGACTTTGCCTGATGCCCACGATGCAGACTCTGGTAAGAACAAGCCCCAAGACAGGCGTCTGCATGTGCCTACAATTTGATGTCCCAGCATGAGAGTATAGACACAGGGCAGTATCTGCCTTTCCTGGCCAAACCCATCACTGCTCCTTGACACTCCTGCCCAAGGGCCTTGGTACTAAGGAACTTTTCCCTCAGACATCTTTCAGGGGCTGATCTTGGCTCTGGGTTGGGTTGACCACTGGCCCAGGGATGGGTAGTGGGGCAGCTGGAGTGGGTAAGGGAAAAGGGCCTTACCTCTTGGGTTTGGTGAAGAAAGAGGAGATTGCGGTGATAAGATGGCCTGAAGCAGAGACTGTTTCCCCTTAGGCCAAAGCCAGAGGCCTGGTTCTACCTAGTGCCCTGTAGAGGAGTCGAATAGAAAGGAATGGGCCTCTTTAATTCTAAGCTCAAGGATGAGTCCTTCTTGGAAAATCTCATCCTGAAACCCAGGGATTGTGAAATTCAAATGAGTCCAGGAACTGCAAAGGCACATTTTTAAGCTGAGGACCTGATTAAAGCAGAACACCTTTGTCAAAAATGCAAGAATTAGCCATGGGAGTGAATGTGTGAGTGGAGTTGTATTTAGTACACTTTTTCATTTCGGTGCACATGAGCCAAGTTGCACTTTTAATTGTCAAGTCCTGGAGTGGATTTCAGCAGCCAAACCCAGCACCTGACTCTAGAGGTATATCACAGAATGCTTGGCTGCATGTGGAGCGGTTGTCCCCAAGGAGGTAATTCCTTTGCAGTTAAGGAGAAAAGAATCACATGCAGAGTTATTGGGACTCCACATACATATTCATAAACTGAAGTCATCTGTGGTTTGTCTGACGTCTCCTGAGTTTATTGGAGCTTTTATTGCCTCTGAGAGAGAGAGAGTACTCGCATTTCACCTGCACGGGAATTATAAATGTCAACAGCTTGTATTTCCTGAGCAGGGGCCCACACCACCCAGAATTGCCACAGGACAGGTTCTCTGAGGGCACAGATCGGAATTGAGCCCAAAGATCTCTCACTTCCCTGCCTCAAACGTGATCTTTACATATATGAAACCATACTGTGCACTTGTGAAAAGAGAAAGTCACAATAGCCAAAAGAAAAATCATCCCTGATTTCACCACCCAGACATTAGTAAATGGCCCTTCAGACTTTTTTCCATGCATTTATAAAAATGTGATCATATTTTTTGGTACTTGCTGTTTTGTTGCGAACTGTACTGTGTGAATGCCTTTCCACTTCAGTATTCACACATGTACATTGTTACTGCAGTGACTGCAGAGACGCCCGTGATTATGCCCTCACTTATTTTTAATCAGCCTCTATTGTTGAACATTCAGATAATTTCTGTTGTTTTTAGTGCTGCAGGAAGGAGTCAAATAAGTATCTTTGCTGACATTCATGATTGCTTTCCTTAGGGATAGATTCTTCATGAGATTTCTGTCTGATTACCCCTTTAAAAGCCCCTCTTCCCAGCTGTGGGGGAGAGTAGGTGATGGGTCCTCCCTACTAGGTTGTGAGCTGCTTTCTGACTGCTAGGCCTGCTGTCCTGACCTGGGTTACCCTGTCTGTCCGTGCGGAGTTGGGCACTGAATGCTGCAGGGCCTACAGCACATGGCATTCTGACTCTGCCACTCAGCCCCATGCCCTCTTGCTCTGCAGGCTCTCGGCAGGCATCATCCATTGCAGCTTCACGGCTAGAAGAGGCCATGTCAGAACTGACCATTCCCACCTCTGTCCTGAAACAGGGCCCCGTGCAACTGTGGACCACACTGGAACAGATCTGGCTCCAGGCTGGTGAGTGTCCTTGGCTCCAGATGGGAAACAGAGTCCTAGTGACACCCACCTGCCTGGCTGAAGCCACTCTGCTGTGACCAGGAGGTGGGATTGTGGGGGCTCCTGACCAGGCTCACATGGGCTTGTACTCTGTTTTCAGGAACTTGGAGTTTTAGTTCCAGGTGTTTCCCAACTCACTCTCCTCTTTGAGCTCCTTCATCCCAGTGGGGGAGGGAGGGGTTCACTTGAGAGGCCAGGCGCAGGGGCCTTGCCTTCTGGGAAGTCGTTCTGTGTGAGAATGGGAGCAGCACCAGGCCCATCGATGCTGCAGGATCCTTGGACTGGAGAGGCACTTTCCAGAAGAGCGAGACCCTCTACCCTTTCTCTTACTATAGCCCCTACTGTAGTGGGATCTCTGTTTGCCTTAATCTGTCTGACTGTGGGTTTTCTTCTTTGCTCAGCTAGGAGAGTGCCTGCCTCCCTTCCTGGGAGAGGTTCTTGGCAGCAATACAAATGTGACAGGATTTGAGGTCAGGAGAGGCCACACAGATGGATAGGCCAGAGGGCTAGTGACATGGAGACTGTCATCCAGGTGGTATCCCTTTCTATCATTTGCTGGCACCATTGCCACTGTGTAGTCCATGTAGGTGAGTGAGTGCTTAGGGGGTGGGTGGCAGGCTTCCTGGAGCCCCAACTTCAGAATCATGCAGTCTAGGTTCCAATGCCAACTCAAGATTGGCCAGTGCTGATCTGAAATGAACTCACATATGAAGCAGTTACGTGTGGCACATAGCAGGTGCTTGGCAAATGGTGCTTGGCTTCTGTGACACCCATTGAGGTCATGGTGGAGTTGGTGGCTGTGTGGCACCATGGACTAAATGTCTAAGTGCTTGCTTGGCTTAGTAATAGCAAGGAGTAACTCACTGGATGTGTTTGACAGCTTGACCTGGTGGTAGTGTAAGAGGTGGATTAGAGTAAAAAGAGAGAATCAAAGTCAATGATGACATGTCTGAGTAAAATATAAGATGGCAGCAGTAAAGAATAAAGAGGAAGACAAGAGACCAACAGATACCCTAAAACCTGAGCCAGTCCAGTCAGTCCAGAGCTGTCCAAGGGACACCCCAAAGGTGTTCTGCTCACCCTCTTATCTTTTTCTTCTCCACCACAGGGGTGGGCTGCAGTTCCCCAATGGAAAGTAGATGATGATCAGTTACCAGAACACTTGGAGTTGGCAAGTCAGCCAAATGTGCTCTTTAGCTGAGAAGCTTAGGTTTCCTGGTGTATGTTTTCCACATATGGACACATTAGTATGCAGCACACCCCCAGTCTCCCCATCATAGGCTCAGAAGGTGGGGGAAAATTAGACCAGAATTCACAAGGCTAGACTTGGAGCATTGTAATAATGCAAATATTGCCCCACTTAGCATCTTAGGGTCTCTTAGGAGGCTAGGGATGTTGTGGGATGGGGGCATGGGAAGGTCTCCATGGTTAGTTTGTTGAGTCTTAAGTAGAAAGAGGAATGTTGAAGAATTCAGAGGAATAATAAACAAGGCCTCCTCCTAGGCAAAGATTCTGCTGCCTTTGGACTGAAGGTGTGACTCATGGTAGAGTGCCTACTTTGTAAGCATAGAGGCCCCAAGTTCAAACCTCAATCCCACTGTGGGAAAAATAAAAATAAAGATTCTCCTGCTCTCTTCTAAGACTTAGAGCCATACCAGACTCCCAGGAGTAGAATAGAGCACCTGCCTGTAGCTGTGCCTGGGGTAGAAAGCTCTACCCATGCTGGATGCCTCGCCAGCTCCAAGGAGTGCATAGTTACAGCAGTGACTCAACTCCTCTGGCTGCTCTGCAGCTCCCAAGGGTTTTGTGGTAACACTTTGCCTTGTTTTTGCACTTGAACCATTTTTGCACATCACAAGCCTGCTTGCATTTCTCAGATATATTGCTTTATGCTGGTGTGCTGGCATGTGCTATTAACTCCTAAGAAGGTGAAAAGCTTTCTCAAAGTCTAGAATTAAAGTTGGCCATTGTCCTTATAAACACATGCCCTTCAGAAAGTCGCACAGTAGCATTCATCTCTGGACACTGTCTGAGATGTCACTCCACAAAGAGAACTCTGAGAACAGTCTCTGAATGCTGCCCCAGGTAAGGGCTAAGCAGTGAAGTATTAAGAGATAGGTCTGGAGGCAGGTGACAGATCCAATGTCACAGTGGCTTACTCAACTGGAATGCATATTTCTTTAATAATTCAGAGATGACGGGCTTGGGATGATAGCTTTGCTCTCCTTAGGATATTGCCCTCCTTCTTGTGGTCCAGGATGGCTTTCTGCCACATTTATATCCCAAGGCAGAAGATAAACATGGATGAGAGGAGAAAGGTGCCCCTCCCCATAAGAACATACTATTGACCAGAACTCCATTATTTGACTACCCCTAACTGAAAAGGACTCTGTCAGATGTCCTTGTTCTGGGTATCCATTTGCCCCATTAAAAAGCAAGGGACCTGTTCTTAGGAGAAGCAGGGAACAGACCAGGACATGGTCAGTTCACAGTGTCATGGCCAGGAAGGGAATGGAAGAATGTTCAGATCTTTTGTTCTGAGTATGCAAGGACTCAGGAGCATTTTGCCCCTCATGGGCTCTTCCCATGCCCCGTGGCTGCCACTATCACCATTGTCTACTGAGCACTGTTGGATGAAAGGCTGCCAGGACCAGGTCATTCAGGTCATGACTTCTTCCTATACTGCCCCACCTGACTAGCTAAGCACATGGTTAGCCGCCCCACTAATGTGCAAGAAAGAAAAACAGTTCCTTTATCATTTGGGAATAAGCTAACCCCTGGGGTTTGGTTCAAGTTAAGTTATAACCCAATCTATTTGGGCAGCAAGCTCTATTGTGAATCCACTCTCTGATTGGGAAATGTCACATTCTTCCTCCCCACCTTCCCCTCCTCAAGTTTGCCCTCAGGGAGGGTATCCACTTGCGAGGCCAAGTGCAGGGGTTTTGTGGCACAGATCCCTACGGGTATTCCAGTATCCTCAGTGTCCAGAGGTGCTTTCCAGAAGAGCAAGACTCTCCACCCACTTTCTCATTACTGCTGCTGTATCCTGGTGCTGACAGAGAAAGGGAGAAGGATGCGAGAGAATTCCTCTTCTCTGGAGGTCCAGGGGCTCCTGGGCAGCTCTGGGCTCTCTCTGAGTTTGTAGAAACTCTCTGAGTTTGTAGAAAGTTGGCCTCATCTCAGCTCCCCAACGCCAGCTTCACAGTGCCTGAGCACTGGAATCCTAACTCTTTATAAGCACCAGCCAACTGTGGGCTGTGCAGACAGGAGTACTGTGTGTCTGAGGTTGATGTTTGTTATAAAATTACACTCAAGAGATAAGTTCTCACCTTGGTCCACACCCTCCCCTCTTTTCCAGATCCCTACCCTGCTTGCTCCCACCTGTCCCCATCTGCCTTCAGTGTCTTGGAGGACCTGTTACCTTGCTCCTCCCACTTTTCAGACTCCCCACTCAGCAGGAGGCCACTCTTAGGACTGCGAGTGGGCCCCAAGCAAAGGTCACCCCTGACTTCCTTGTGCTCTCTGGGCCCCAGGACTAGACGGGCAAATGTGCTACCTTTGGATTCTCTGTGTGACTTGGTCTTTCTCCATCCTAAGCTGCTGGCTTTTTCTTCTCATTCTTCCCTGTCCACTGGATATCCTACCTTTCCTTTTCCTTTATTTTGGGTGGCCTTATGTCCTGAGGTTCTGCTCAGGGTGCTTATTTCTTGATTTTCTTTGGGAATCACCAAAACTGCCCCCACTGGGGATCAAAGCTATCAAGGTAGATTAGGCTCTTGACCTAATCTATTTTCCTTCCTGCCCTGCCTAGGGGGTTCTCTGAACTCTTGAGTCTGCAAGGCTCCCTTTCCTTTGTGGGGTCCTGGGACAACTGTGGGAAGCACACCACACCTGTGCTTAAAAGACCTTCAGGGTGGCCCTGCATTCTTGGAGGAGGGGCCCTGCTTCTCAACACAGTGCCAGCCTGAGGGAAGGGCGCTCCCCACACAGGGATATGGGAATAGGCCATGGAAAACAGGCCCAGTCCCCTGCCTGGGGCAAAGAGCCTAGGCTTTGGCAGCAATGGCAGGAAGACTGGATCCAGTCCCTGGTGCCAGGTTAGACCAGGATGCTTCAGAGAAAAATAATAAAAGGGACTCTTGCAAAGCTCCAGGGAACAGATGTTTTCCATTTGTAGCCTGCAGAGAGAAAGCACAGAGGGGAGAGGAGGTGGGGAAAGCAGTAGTGAAGAGAAGAAAAACAGAGACAGGCAAGAGAGGGAGGTAAGAGGTAGGCAGGGAGGAGGATGAGACGAGGGAAAGGAAGGGGGGAAGGAAAGAGTAAAGAAACTTAGAGGGACCCAAGAGGGGCCCTTTGTCACTTGGGAAGTAGCAAGGCCCTGGGGTGATAACCTAGACAAGGCAAACTAAGGAATAGCTGGTAGTAGTGAGTGTTTATCCAACCTTGGCCAGGGGAGACCATAGGTATAGGCACTGCTGAGCCCAGAAGAGACAGGATCCAGGCTGTGGTGGGCGCCATGCCATGGGGCTCCTACTGTAGCTGCAGCTGACTGGTTGACTGGAAGAACCATGTTTGGTAAAATAGCAAGCAGAAGCTGGTGGTATCTACACAGGAACACTTAGGCTAGGAAGAGAGATACACTGCAGCCCCCAGACCTGTGCACTTGCTTGCAGAGCAGAGGCCTCACCCTGGAAGCTGAACCTGCGAGGGCTATCTTCAGTGTGGTCAGAGCCCTCAGGAAACCTTGCTTCTCTGGCTCTGTTCTGTGTCATCTGCTTTCCTGCCTAAGTGGTGACGAAGCCCTTCCAAGTGGAGCATCCTACCTCAGGGAATGTTCCCTTGCATGTGGCCTCTCCATGAACCCAGGGCTCAGAAGGCTCCAGCGCTCCAACTCTCTCTAATTGAAAAATGTTGATATGAATGCATTATGAGGAATCCTCAAGGCAGGGACCAGGAACAGCCTCCTGAGGGCTTGGGGGACAGGGCAGCAAGTTGTAAACAGCTTAATGAGCCGTGCCGGGCCCAAGTGGGCCCAGCCTGGGATAGGACTGCTAGGCACAGTGTAGGCATGGAGAGCCTGACCCTTGTGCCCTTTGCCTGCTGAGCTCCTATGGAGGATGTAGTCACAGCCTGATGTAGGAGCACACCCCCAGCACTCACAACACACACTTCCTTCTGCACCTTCCCTCTCTTCCTATGACCTGGGGAGCCTCCAGTTTGTCCTGGATTCCCTTCTTTCTGCCAGCTTAAATGTGGCCTCCCCCAGGAAGACCTCCCTAATCATACCAGCAGCACTGACCTGACAATTCCTGAGTACCTGTAACACCCAGAAATGGCACCAGTCACGTCGGTGTCCTGGGTTTCTTGTGAAGTTTAATGGCTCAACTGCCCCACCCCCACTCCTGTTTTTCCTCATAGGAGTCAGTGTTTATTAGTTGTACATTGGGCACTCAGTTATGAAGGCAGCTTGTTCAGAGCCCCCAAAGCAGCTCAACAGAAGAACAGGGAAAAAAGCTGAGACTGAGATAGCCAAATCCCTGACCACTGGCCAATTGTGCCCTGGTGTCACCCTGTGCTGTCTGCCTTGGGGACCTGTGTGTCAGCCTGAGTCTAGCACAAGACCCTGCATCTGTGTGTGTGTGTGTGTGTGTGACCATATGGGAACATCCATGTTTAATTCCACGATTCTCCCAAGCTCTCATTATCATTAGAGAAAGTGACCCTTGCTCCAAAAGCCCTCTGTGATATTTTCAGATGTGGCACAGTCCTTGGTTTGCACAATAAACCTTTCCTGTGAAAGACCCCCAGTGCCATGTACTGCAGTTAAGACCTTAGAGAAGAGAAAAAAATAGCTTCAGTTAGGCTTCCTTCCTGCTGCTTACAAGGGCAAGCAGAGGGGATGACTGGACTAGTTTGTTCACCTCTTTCTAGAAGTTTCCACTGGAAGTGTCTGTTATCTACCCTACCCCAGACATGATCTGAAATGGCATAACCTCAGCTCTCAGCCTTTGCTAGGAAAAGCTCTTGGCAGAGCCACAAGCCAGACTCTGCTGGCCTCCCGCGCTCCCCATCTGTGTTGCCATCCTTCTGTGACTTCCGCATGGGCACCAGCTCCAGGAGGGGGCAGTCAAGCCTGGGGGCAGCTTTGCAAGGAAAGCAGAGTGGGCTGTAAGGCCGACAAGCAGTGTTTCTAAAAGTGCCTGCTGTGGGCGTGTGCCTGTGCATTGTGGGGCTGAAATGTGCAATTTTTTGGGCTTGCCTGGGATGGAAGAAACTGCCCCTTTCCCCACTGATCCAGTCCTACCTGCCAGCCAAAAGATGTGTGTGTTGGCTTTGGAGAGAGGCTGAGAGGCTCCTGGAGAGGCTATCTCTGTTGTTGCCCTTTCTCAGCCTGATTGTTTAAAGTAGGAATCCTGATTACATCTGCCTGCCTCCAAGACTAGTTGTGAGGATTAATGAGAGAAAACGTTTTGCAGTTGGCCCACAGTCAACACTCCATAAATGCAGGTGGTAGCTTTTATCTTTGTTACTATTTGGTTTGAGCTCTGTGCTATCCCTCAGTAGGTACCCCCTGAGCCTTTTGTCCCTCCTTCTCCTGTCCCTGTCCTTGGCAGGACTGCTTGGTTCCCTCTCATGCTCCAGGCACACTCCCACCTTGTCCTGAGCACATAGGGCAGAACAAGCCCCTCAACCAGCCTCCTACCTCAAGGCTGAGAGGAAGAACCTTCCAGCCTTCTTCCACCCCATCTGCCCAGATAGTAATGAACAAGTGAGGTGAAGGGGCACTGAAACACAAGTCACAGACAGCTGAGCAAGTTACTCAGCCCCACTAATAATGTCCCCACTGCCAGGCTCTGGAGTCAGACAGCCCTACACAAATCCTGGCTCATCGCTTACTCTCCCTGTGGCCAGGTGTCTTAACCTCTCCGTGCCCAGGCTCCTCATCTGTGAACTGGGGTAATGAAAGTACTTGCTCTTGGTCAGTAATTGCAAGCATGACTGAGGCTGTCTGTGGAGCACCCAGCTCAGTGCCTGACATATAGGAGGTGCTTAGAACCCATTCACTAGCATTACCCCTGCATTGCACAGCAAGTTTGTCCTGGGCTGGGACTTGGTGGGATAGTGTCTGATTCCTCAGCTCTAGGGACTACAGGCTGGGGCCTCTGCCTCCTGACTTCACACCACTCACACTTCCCTCGGCCCCTTTGTTTCACAGCTGAGCTGTTCATGGAGCAGAGACACCTCAAGGAAGCAGGTTTCTGCATCCAGGAGGCAGCAGGCCTCTTTCCCACCTCTCACTCAGTGCTCTACATGCGGGGCCAGCTGGCTGAAGTAAAGGGCAACTTGGAAGAGGCCAAGCAGCTGTACAAGGAGGCACTCACAGTGAACCCAGATGGTGTGCGCATCATGCACAGTCTGGTGAGTCAGCCCTTCCCCTCCCGCCACCTCCCTCCTGAACCCTGGGGGCCCCGTTCATCCTTTGTGGTGCCCCCTACCACATGCAGGAGCCTTGCTGCTGCTGTTTCCTAGCGTCTGGGGGAGGTGGCTTCCTCCCTTCTCTGTTGAGAGAGGCAGCAGTCTGTCTTAGGTGCCGGTTGTTCCCTCCCATTAGGACCTGCATTGATGAAAAAATCTAGAAGGGTTGGTTGGTATTTCTTCTGACTTCCTTTTTGCCATAAGTTTCTATAAGATGATCTAGCTCCAAAGAGATTTCACTGTTCCTCATTGGCCCTTTGTCCTGGAAGCTAATCCAAACTCTAGGCAGGTCCCAAGATGCCTTCCCTTCTGTGGGTTCCCAAGCCCTCCCCAGTCATTGGGCTCCTCCTCCACTTCAGAGGAGCTCTGTCTCCTTGGTGAGACTCAAGGGATGCTCTCGGGTGGACCACATCAGACCTGAAACAAGCACACTTGGTGCTAAAAGGGTCCAGGATCCCCCATTCCTAGGGCATGAGCTCAGGACTTGGGTTCTTAGGACACAGTGACCTCCCTGGGAGACGGTTTGAAAGCTGGGAATTAGGACACAGGCGTTCTTGTCCCAGCCTTGCCACTTTCTACCTGGTGACCACAGGCAAGTCATCCACTTTCTCCAAACCTCAATTTTACTATGGATCCAGTAGGGATTTTGTAGTCCAAGAAACCTACTTGGAGAGGAACTGGACAAAATTGTCTTTATAAAAGGTCCTTTCCAACCCCAAGAGTCCTTGAAAAGTGGAATTAAAAAAGAGATTCCCAGCTCATCTCTTATTCTTGCTGCCTGGTGTCTGGCTTAGGCCAGTGCAAATGTTGAGCATGTTGCTCTAACAGGCACTATAGTAGATCAGGGATTGAACTCAGGGCCTCCAGTTTACGAGGAAGGTTCTCTCCCTCTTGAGCTATGCCCCCAGTCCAACGTAACCATTTTCCCTGGCCTCCTTTAGCTACTTTGAGAGAGCAGGTAGGAAGACAAATGCAGTGCTCAGAAAGGAAACAAGCCTGCATATGTACTGGTGACTTTTAAGGACCATTTAGGAGCCCACAGTTAGCAAGTCTTCCCCTGTCAGGGTCTGGGGTCTACCTTGGATGTCTCCTTTGAGAATGGCTGTTAGGGTATCCCTGACATCTGCCACATGGAGACAACAGAAGATCAGAAGGGCTCCAGATGGCTAAAGGGTCCTTGCTGCCGTATAGGATCTGATTTGTGCATAAGTAGAAGCTACAGGGGTTGGGTTTCAAATTATAACTCTTAGAGGAGTCCAGATACACATGCAGTAATCACCAGATAACAATGTTGCCAAGAGACAACATTTGAGGAGGGACTGGACCAATTTGTCTTTATAAGAGGTCCCTTCCAACCCCAAGAGTCCTTGAAAATGGAATAGAAAAGAGATTCCCAGTTCATCTTTTATTCTTTCTGCCTGGTATCTGGCTTAGGCCAGTGCAAATGTTGAGCCCCAGCAGAAGAAAGCCCATGCCACGACATCACACCTTGGCCCTGCTCCCTTCCAGTGGCTCCTTATTGTCCTGTATTCAGCTCAGCAAATGCTTGATATTTTACAAGGCACATCCTCCTTCCTCTAGCAATTCAGACATTAGCTTCTCTGATAAATGCCTCGCCGGAGGTCATGTCCAGAAACTTGATTATGGAAGCAGGAGAAAGGATGTGGGCTGGCATTGGGCCTGCAGCCAGGCAGAGATGTCTGCCTTCCACTGTGTTCACAGATATTAGCCTGCAGTCCCAGCTCCTAAAACCCAACAAAATCCAATAACAAGTACAATTTTGAAGTAACAGCGTACCATTTTTCATTTATGCTTATTATTGTTTGTAGCTATTTTCTTGAAATTGAAGCAGTTTCCAACAGTGGGTTTCCATGGTAACTGAATAGCTGTCCAGAGTGGCTCCCTGCAGATTTTTGCTGAAATGGTCCCTTTTCTCTTCCTGGGGTGCCTTGCTAATTTGATGAAACTGGAGCAAGTCAGAGCCAGGCTTGCCTACTTTTACAGTTACCAGCAAGCAAGAAGGGCAGTCATCTCATGTGTGGGCTGCCCCTCGCCTTTCCACATGCTTTGTTCCTGCCAGCATCCTACACATATGCATAAAGAACAGCAAATTGCAAGCTTGAGGCACATGTACTAAGTATATTTTCCTAAAGACATGTGAACGAACGCCTTGGCATGTTGGTCTCAAGCATTCCCCAACCTGAGTGTCTTCCATGAACTGGCCTGGGATTCAGGACACCTGGGATCTAATTCTGTCTCTAGCCCTTGAGTGATAGGGAAAAGATTTAACTAACATGCTCCTGATATCCCCTTTTGTAAATGGGTAATAATCTTCGTTGTTTCTAGACCATAGTGTTCTAATCAAATGAGACATGCATGTGAAAGCCTACAGTGTGATATTAAAGAAGGCAAGACACAGCATACACACCACTGTTTTCCAGTTCCTCTCCACTAACAGACATTGCTAATTGATCACAGCACTTTTTCCCACTAAGCATAGATGGGAACCACTTCCAGTCAGTCTCAGTCAGCTTGTGTGCCCAGGATTCCTTGTGCAAATAGCAAATAGTAAAGAAAGAGACACATCATTTGTCTCAGCCTCTATGAACTCTGGGGTTGGTACATCCTTGGAGAATTACTCACAGAAAGGATTATAGAGGATAACTAGTCCCCATGATGGAGTCATTGCCAAAGCAGGTTCCTAGGGAGAACATCCTGAGGTTACCATGCCATTGAGCTTTATGAGGACATTAGCCTCTGATAGGCACAAGGGGCAGGAGAGCCACACCTTCCCTGGGTTCCCAGCCACCCATAGACCTGGGCTGGAAGAGCACCAAGTCCCCGCCTGTAAGCCCTCTGAAGTTGCAGGAAGTCCCACTCCCTGCAAAGAAAGGTCTGGAAAGAAAGGGTGGGGATATTCCTAGTAGGCTTATAGGTGCCAGGTATGGTTCTCCAGTCTGTAGGGTGGGACTGGCAAACAACAGGAGACTGAAGAAAGCCTACTGGGAGTGGAAGGCTTGACTTTCAGGAGCCAGGCTTCAGGCACTTTTAAGAATATAAGCTTTGGCCCAAGAACAGATTCTCTGTTCGCTCTGCCCTCCTTGCCCTGTATGCAATGAGAAAGATTTACCTGATTCTAGCTCCATCCTGGGGACAGCTTAGGCTTTTCCACCAGACCAGGCAGGAAGGAGTCACCTCCTTGACAGTTTTGTTCCAGCAAGAGCCTCCACTGTGCCCACAGCAGTGTCCAGAAAAGGTAGTCCATTGAGCCCTAGTCCTGTGGACTGTCACCTATGCCAGGCTCAATGGATCTTTGGGAAACTGGCAAGTACAGAAACAGGAGTGTGTGCTCTTCACAGATGGAAATCAAACCATAGGAGCAGGTCATGAGAGTGTTTGCCAGTCAGTCTCAGCCTTCCCTCCAGTAAGCCCCAACCTGACCCTATCCCCTTCAACTGGGGTGCTCAGGATTTAGCATACTAGCAGAAGAATCTACTTAAGGAAGGAAGCATGGTCTTTCCCAAGATTATCAGAGGGGTTGCCCTCGTTGATGTTCTTCAGAGAGGCTTCCAAGGGCTTAAGAGAAAGGGACCCCAGGCAGCCCACACTTGTCTCTCTGAGCCTAGCTGTCCTGCCACTTCCCAGGCCCCCTCAGCACCAGGCACCTCCAACAAGAAAGATATACTTGGGTGAGCCAGGGAGCCCAGACAAAAGTTTCCAATGGACTGGTTCTCCCAGGATGCCATTCCTTTGTTGTCACCTGAACACAGTGGGAGGGTTATGAGTTGTTCACAAGACAGATTAGAGCACCCCATGGGATGGTCAGCTTGACTCAGTTTCCCACATCAGGATAGGAAAAATAATTTTCCCTCTACCCTTCTGAGTTCTTTGTCAGGCCTCTCTTACAAACGTCAGATTAATAGAAGAAAAGCAAACAGAAGTGTGATGACACATGTACCTCATTTGCACATGGGAGATGCCAAGGGAAAATGATTCCGTTTCAGAAGTGGCTTAGAACTCCAACTTAGACAACATTTTCAACAAAAAACAATATAATTTTAGAGGCAAAGGAAAAGGGCTTTGAGTCTCTAGGGGCAAATAAATGGGACACTAATGGTGAGCAAAGGCCAATTAGTGAAGTTTGCTTTCCAGATTCCTCTAGTGCTGTCCCTAGGCTCATAAGAGTCTAAAGCTGCCCTCTGCAATCAATCTTTGTCCTTACTGGTATAGAGGGAGAAAGAGGAGGAAAACTTTGTAAATTTATTTATTTGCTTTTAGGGGAGGGCAGAGGACTTTTCTTATCTCGGCTTTTTTTCATGTGCCTTCAGCTCAAAATAATCCTCTCACCAATATAGCAGATTTTAAGGTAGCATGTTCTACTATCCTTCAGCTCCACCAAAGATGGTCCTAGCCCTGGCCATCCTAGCCTCACTGCCCTCACCTTAGCTAAAGGTAATTCAGACACTTTACCAGAGACAACTTGAAACCCTCAGCTAGAAGTGGGCGGTCATGGGTGGGCAAGGCTATTGTGAATGGCACCTACCTTGCTCTGCCAGGGATGGGCTCCAGAGGAGCAATGGTTCATGTTTTCTTGGGGGCAATCTGTAGGCTTTCCCAGAACCTCTCCTTCTCAGGCACCCCTACAAGCTTTGGCTCTCCCAGTATAATTCCCAGGGATGCAATGTCTGAAAAACTCCAAGCTATATAACCATCCTCTTCCCTCTCCACATGCTCTGGACAGTCAGGGAGATAGCATTTCAGTCACCTTTTGCTCTGGTGATGACAGCATGTGATGATCTGTTCCCTTCATTGACTTCTCATCCCTAGCATGCAGCAATTGCCTTGTACTTTAAGTGGGTCTGGGGGACCTGAATATAATAATTGCCCCACATCTCTGGTTACTTGGTCCTGCCTGTGTCAGTCACTGAAGACTGAAGCTCTGG